AGGTTGACGGCGGTGGCGGCGAGGGCGGCGCTGATGGCGGCGGCGGCTAGGGCGGCACGGACGGTGGCGGAGGCGACTGCAAGGCGGAGGGAGGCGGCGGCGAGGGCGAGGCGGAGGGCGGTGGAGGTGACTGCGGCTCGGACGGTGGCGGCGGCGACGGCGGCACGGACGGGGGCGGCGGCGAGGGCGAGGCCGACGGCGGCGGCGGAAAGGGCGAGGCCGACGGCGGCGGCGCCGAGGGCGAGGCCGACGGCGGCGGCGGCGACGGCGAGGCGAAGGGCGGCGGCGGCGACGGCGAGGTTGACGGCGGTGGCGGCGAGGGCGACGCTGAGGGCGGCGGCGGCGAGGGCGGCACGGACGGTGGCGGAGGCGACGGCAAGGCGGAGGGAGGCGGCGGCGAGGGCGAGGCGGAGGGCGGCGGAGGTGACGGCGGCACGGACGGGGGCGGCGGCGACGGCGAGGCGGAGGGGGGCGGAGGCGAGGGCGAGTCGGAAGGCGGCGGCTGCGAGGGCGGCACGTACGGTGGCGGCGGCGAGGGCGAGGTGGACGGCGGCGGCGGCGAGGGCGAGGCCGACGGCGGCGGCGGCGAGGGCGAGGCGGAGGGCGGCGGCGGCGACGGCGAGGCGGAGGGCGGCGGCGGCGGCGGCAAGGCGGAGGGCGGCGGCGGCGAGGGCGACACGGACGGCGGCGGCGGCGAGGGCGGCACGGACGGCGGCGGCGGCGACGGCGAGGCGGACGGCGGCGGCGGGGAGGGCGAGGCCGACGGTGGCGGTGGTGACGGCGGCACGGACGGTGGCGGAGGCGACGGCAAGGCGGAGGGAGGCGGCGGCGAGGGCGAGGCGGAGGGCGGCGGTGGTGACGGCGGCACGGACGGGGGCGGCGGCGACGGCGACACGGACGGCGGCGGCGGAGAGGGCGAGGCCGACGGTGGCGGTGACGGCGGCACGGACGGGGACGGCGGCGAAGGCGAGGTGGAGGGCGGCGGAGGCGAGGGCGAGGCGGAAGGCGGCGGAGGGAAGGGCGGCACGGACGGTGGCGGCGGCGACGGCGAGGTGGACGGCGGCGGCGTCGAGGGCGGCACGGACGGCGGCGGCGGCGACGGCGAGGCGGAGGGGGGCGGAGGGAAGGTCGGCACGGACGACGGCGGCGGTGAGGACGAGGCCGACGGCGGCGGCGTGGACGACGTCACGGACGACGGCGGCGACGGCGAGGTTTACGGGGGCGGTGGTGACGGCGGCACGGACGGTGGCGGCGGCGAGG